TGTGTGTGTGTGTGTGTGTGTCATTCATCGCTGCTACACATGTGCTACACGTTTGGACTCTAAGCCGCCCCTGTGTGTGTGTGTGTGTGTGTGTCATTCATCGCTACTACACATGTGCTACACGTTTGGACTCTAAGCTGCCTCTGTGTGTGTGCCATTCATCGCCACTACACATGTTCTAGAGTTTTTTACAATGTTACTTTTTGTTACAGAAATTCTTGTTACTTGTTCCATACACAGTGGGACCTGCTCCCCCCGCCAGCTGTCCCCAATAGTCGACAAACGACCACTTCCCACTGAAACCACTGGCGCTTTTTCTCTTTAAAAAAAATAAATTTATTTAGATCCTATTTCTTTAATTTTTAATTATTTTCTTTCTTTCTTTCTTTTTTTATTTTCATATATTTTTTTATTTTTTATTTATTTCATTCATTTGTTTCATTTATTTTATCTATTTCATCTATTTATTTATTTATTATAATGGCAGTCTCCAAGATGTAGACAACATATATTTCTCACGGACTATGGGTGGCTGTCTGAGAAAGTTTTCACTGCAGGTTTTTTTTCTGGAATACGTGGGGGAACTATTGCAGTGGGGGAACTATTGGGGAACTATTGCCGTGGGGGAACTATTGGGGAACTATTGCCGTGGGGGAACTATTGGGGAACTATTGCCGCGGGGGACTGCGGGCTCTGCTCTATCTTTGTGGGCCGTCAGCTGATTCCATGTGTATGTGTAGGCCTGTGGGTGGACAGTGGTAGGTCTGTGGTAGGTCTATGGGTGGACAGTGGTAGGTCTGTGGGTGGACAGTGGTATTTCTATGGGTGGACAGTGGTAGGTCTATGGTAGGTCTATGGGTGGACAGTGGTAGGTCTATGGTAGGATAGTGGTAGGTCTGTGGGTGGACAGCGGTAGGTCTATGGGTGGACAGTGGTAGGTCTATGGGTGGACTGTGGTAGGTCTATGGGTGGACAGTGGTAGGTCTATGGGTGGACTGTGGAAGGTCTATGGGTGGACAGTGGTAGGTCTATGGGTGGTCTATGGGTGGACAGTGGTAGGTCTATGGGTGGACTGTGGTAGGTCTATGGGTGGACTGTGGTAGGTCTATGGCTGGACTGTGGTAGGTCTATGGGTGGACAGTGGTAGGGCTATGGGTGGACAGTGGTAGGGCTATGGGTGGACAGTAGTAAGTCTACGGTAGGTCTATGGGTGGACAGTGGTAG